GACTGAATGCCCACACATAATTCTGAGCACACAGAAAGTTTGCTACATTCCGTATTTTGTAATTTCTGTATGTGTCCCTTTTTACTAGCTAGGGTTGTTGGCAAACCAACAAAAAGATTGACTGTGCAGCCTACTTAATCTATACATGGAAAATCCTAACAGAAAACTCTCTGAATAAACAAATGCGTCAGGGATGTTTAAGACTGCTGTCTCTTCTTTGAGTGAGTGTGGGCTGGCAGACTGTCCTCCTGAGGAAATTTTCAGTCTACAAAGAGAAAAGGGAAAAGTCTCTGGGATTCTCCTGCTGTGGCAGACCTGGAGCCAAGCAGACATCCACAAGCTGCCACATGCTTTCCCTCCCTGGGGTCTTTGCTGGGGTCAGAGCTGGTGGAGGGAGAAGCAAAAGGCACCGACTTTGCTGCAGCTCCCGGTCAGCACCCGAGGAGGGAAGAGGGTGACTGAGCTCCCCAGTGAGGACGTGGTCTCACCACACCTGTCCCTCGCTGGCAGTGCTCCCAGAGCCTGATTAGTCCTTGGTCAAAACACGGCTTCACAGTCCATGTTTCAGCAAGATAGACAGTTGAACTTCTCATCTCTGTTCTGGCACTGCAACACTTTGTTTCAGTCTCTAGCAGGAACAGCAGAGCACCAAATTATAGTCTGAATGCCAAAGTCACAAGAATCAGAAACATTTGTCCAGACCTTTCCCTATCTAAGAAGACATTGCTTCTTCAGATCATACAGAAAAATATAAGATTCTCTGTGCCTGTTTGGAACTCATTGTGCTTGATAACATTAAAGTAGTTTCTGTGAAATAAAATAAAATCTGCTCTGTCTGACCACTGTAAGTAAAAACATTATACCAAACCATGGCATTTTAAGTTTAAATACACATGAACATACCACACAAGCATGAAAATAGGAGTAACAAAATCATGTCACCAAATGGAACTATCTCTCAGGCTGTTGTTTGCACAGGAACTGTTTGTTGTTTTTTGAGCAGGACACTCGGAAGCAAAGCTGATGAGAAAAATTAAATTACCTTCGAGATTTCATAGTAAACTTTTCGGCACAAAGCAGATTGTTGTTTTTTGTTGTTTTTTTTTAATTCTATGAGCTCATAAATAAATAAAATCTTAATTTGCAAATGAGATTGTTATGTAAACTTGAAAAGTTCAAGCTGACCATGACAGGAAGACATCAAACCCTTATTATGTGAGAGAAGATCCATGCACTTATGTTTTGCTATCACCAGCTAAACGAGCACTCACAAGCCTCACCAGGTCAGATACCATTTCCCATTACAGAATATTATGGAAACTAAAAGCAGTAACTTTCTCCCTTATGCATGTGATTCATAGATGTATGCACAGACACCTTGTCTATTTTAGGATGTACATTGTGGGATTTGACAAATGTTCAAGAAATATTACAGTGAACTTTTCTTGTTTTCACCATTTTTCCTAGGTCTTGAACCCTAAAAAAATTGTTGGCTAAGGGGACTTTTGTCTGGCCCTGGAAGATCAACACATTTATATTCTTCTATAACAGATGAAAGACTTAATTGACTTGCATAAAAATTTAAAATGGAAGCTTAAATGTTACTTTCACATTTGAGTCAATGATTTTAAGGTGTAATGACTGGTTATAGATACTTTCTTTTTCTGGTTAACATGTTTTTTTCCCCTCCAGTTCATTTAAATTTATAACAACCTTCTTTGCGTCTAACAGTGACAATATAAAACAGAATATACCATCACAAATGTTAGCATTATGATTCTATACATTTCACAAGGAATTGCATAGCACCTTAGATACAGGACACTTATAAAGTAACTTACAGCCCATTCTTTATCATACAGAACTTTAATGGGATAAAACCACTTGAAATAAAATAAAACTTAGTGGTGTTGATTCACTGTTACTGAGAAAGATTTTCCTAAAGCAATTTTTTTTTATTCAGTGCCTTCTAAATCCTGAGATAGAATATCCTCTGTGAATATTTCTTACATACATCATATACATATACATATACATATACATATACATATACATATACATATACATATACACATACAAGATATACCTGAGAGGAAAATGGAAAACATAATAAATCCTATTTATGAGTGCTCTTGAATTGTAGGGTAACATCATAGGAGAGACAGTGCTTTTCAAAGAAGATAAATTGCAGGAGAATTGATATTATTTGTCATCCTTCCCCATTGCAACTTTTGCTCTGTATTTATTACTGTGAATTAGATTTTTTGAGTGAATTCCAATCCGCATAGAAGCCTCTCAAATGGCATTCAAGGTTTTAATGAACTGATCAGAATTAGTTTAACAAATCCTTCATGTGCATAGAGCCTCTGATTACAATGAAACCATTACAGCATATCCCTGGGGTATGAGGATTCTTTGAGCAACAATTAATCTGCTTGAATAAACTGCAGACACAATGAGCTGCTTCAACCACAACTATATTTGGGCAGTTTCTTGGAGTCAGTCAGATTAACTAGCTGATATTTATCTAAAATGATTGAAATGTACCAACTTTAAATTCCGAATAGAAATAAATTGTGTAGGGAACTGAGTAGAGTGAATTCATACCCCGGTGCTCCCTGTTTTGCACCAGACACAGGAAAAATCCTCTATCCTTCCTGTAAGTTTCCAAAAGAAGACTCTTTGTATTTTGCCAGCTGATATATTTTTCTGAAGTACAATACATCTACAAAAGAGATGAACACTGACTCCTGCGTGTTGAAGTTATATAGTAAATATAAATACTATGTAGTAAGTATTGTATATTTAAAAAGACGAAGTCAATTTAATTTCATTGGTTCTCTCTTACGGCCTTCAAAATTGCATATGTTCACGGATAAGAGAAAGAGGAACAAGTAAAAATTTGTGTGAAGATCTAGAAAATTTTTTATTTACAGCAAATTTTAAGGGGCTCATTTGGTTTAAGACCAAGGCTAGCTCCTGGATGTATAAGCCAGAGAAGAAATTAGCATATGAACTTTCAAATGCACATTTCAATAAGTTTATTCACTTTTTCATAGAAATACAGAATCACTTATGTTGGAAAAGACCTTAAGGTCATCAAATTTGATCATAAATGTGTCACTGCCAAGTCCACCACTATGTCCCTGAGTGGAACATCTACATTTACATCTTAAATACCTCCATCAACTGTACTAATTAAAAATACCTATTTTGGGAATACCTGTTTTCAGGACAGTCAGGCAATTCAGCTAGTGCAAATTATAATTAACACTTTTCTGTGATAATAATAATTTCTACTCTGAGAACTTTACAACCATTCATTTTTATCTCTAGGTTTACTCTGTTAAATCCTGCAAGATGTGTACTCCTGAAAAATGATTCTGATTTTAGTAGGTAAGAGTTTTGGGGTTATAGACATGTCATGAATTTAAGGATAGAGGTAGATGGAGGTGCTTGAGTCCTTGAACTAGCTACGTAAACCCTATCTACCACAAAAGACAAAGAGGTAGGTTCTGATCATGGGCAGCAGAACCAGAACAGGTTCAAACACACTGTCTCTGCAGGGAGGTGCCTGCGAGATGGGACAAGTCTCAGAAAACAAAAACCTCTATCTTCTGCAAAATAGCTGAACTGGTGATAGCCATCCTTTAAAAAGGCATCATCTCCCTGCTTCTGAAAATCTGCCTCTGATTTGAGAAGAAAAATGTAATCAAACATGGAATACTGAAAAACCCTGTTGCATGCAATTTTCCATACCATAAAACAAGGAAAGAAAGGATTCTCAAAAGAAGTTAATTAACAAGAATCACTACTATTCTTTATTTTTCTTTTCCTGTGAGAGAACCAAGGGGGTGCTTATATATTTATTCAACTTTGATGTAAAGAAATAAATAATATTAGTCTTTACATGCATATGTTAAATTCATACAACCTGTAATCTCAACTTTCTCCTTACAGGTAATTGTGAAAGAAATCTTGTATTTTCGGAAATGTAGGAATGAACTTTCAGATGTATGTATCTTGAAAAGTAGTCTCTATAAGCATGAGAAACTCTTCTTTGAATATTTTCCACTGTTTTCACCATTACTATGTTGGTTCTGAGTATTGCACTTGGGCAACTATAGAAAGTAGTACATGGTAGAATCACAGGATTCCCAGCATACAAAGCTATCATGTCGCTCTGTAAAGTCACTTTACCTTCAAGGGAATCTATGGCTCCCCATGATTTAGTACCATCAGCAAACCTACTGTGCACTCAGCTTCTGTATCCAGGTCATTGATAAAAACATGGAAGAGTAGGCCCAAAAACTGATCCCTGAGGAGCCCCACTGGAAACTGACTACCAGCCAAGCGTTGCCTCAGTTAGTAGAAGTCTGTGCCTGGCCCTTCTGGCAGTTTATCCATCATGTTTGTGAATATTTCCTGCTGTATGATGGATAGTTGGTCCAGAAGGACACTGTGAAAACCTTACAGTACTGAAAGCTGGCTTCAGGCTAAGAAACACAAAATAAACGCCCAAATATCTTTGAGTTTTAGCTCAAGGACTCATATGCTTTTTGATTTTCCTGACGCACATGAAAGGTAATTGAAGGAACTAATTTTGAGCATGTCCTGTCCTTTTGATGAATCTAATAATTTCTTAGAAACATCCTGCATTAGCTATTTCCTAAGAGCTTTATACCATTACATTATGTTCTTTCTCAATTTCAGAACACATGTATCCATTACTGATACAGAACACAAAACTAATTTCCATTTGTCTTCACCCTTTTTTCAGAAAAAATATGCATACCTTTATATTATGCTTCAATTCCTTGTTGCATAAATAAAAGTAAATATTTTCTATGATATTCAGCGACTAAGTTGTATTTAGAGATTATATTGAAATAAATTCCAAATGAAAGAATCCCTTGCTAAATAAATTTCTGATTACCTACATGTTTCTAGGACTGATAAAATAAAATCCATTCCTTTCTGTCACTAATCAAAAATCAACCAAACAACAACAAAAAGATTGTTTCCAGCAACATTAAATATCTAGAAAATAATTTTAGTGTTTCTTTGAATGCATGATAGGTAATTTCAACCTTTAAAAAATATGCTTCAATAAACCCTAGAAAATTAGGTGCTAATCCAAGAGTTGAATCAGCTGAGCTGGCTGAAAATTTCAACAGACCGATCCTCACAGAGGTCAGGACTTCTGTTTTCATAAGGTTATGCCAGGGGGGAAATAGTGCAGCCATATTTTTTTGAACTTAGTAAAGGACTTGATTTTGTCCTGTAGATATTATCTAATTTATGTTTCAAATGGAACTTAAGATTAATTTGTTAGGGAATGGGGTTGGGGAATTTAACTAAAACTGGCTCACCTTCAAGTTTTTGTGGATTTTCCAGTCCAATAAATATTGTTAGACTTTGCAACTAACTCCAACTAGCTGCAGTGTCACATATCAGAGATGAGGGGATTATTGCTTCGTACAGAATAAGAAGGGTCTGTGAGTCATATATAGGCATTCATATATTGGTTGCTAAGTTCTGAAGGATTGCACTATGCAGACAGTTACACAAACATAACTTTTAAATGTATTTGAGGAAAACAAAAAATTAGGCACTAGAATACAATTTCTTGTATTATCACAATTAAGTGTAGCCTTTGGGACTATATTGCACAGAAAATACTAACACTGTATTTCAGGAATATTTATCTTGTGAGCACAGCTTAGAGTGGATTCAAATCATATTCCAGTGCAACTCCTCTCTTGTAAATCAGGAAACATTCCACTATGTATGCAAACAAACAATAGGTGTTCCTATATTTTCTAATGTTTAAAACATTTAAATGAGTCAGATAACATCTAGGTTATTTCCTTACAAAATATTTATATTACTTCTAGTTTTCTGTGGGAAGTCAACTAGTTGGGATGGATGGTGGGCCGAACTGTGACAGTTTCTGTATCTTGAATATAATGGTAGATTAAATTATGGCTCGGATTTTAAAGCATGGTGGTTCAATTCAATTACAGAGGCTTACTATATTGTATATGAAGTAACACAATACCACAGAGCAAGAATGCAAGGAAACTACCTCAGCTTGTGCTTGTAAAATGAGCAATGCTGAGGTTAAATAAACATGGGCAAACTTCAGGTACATGTTCAGTTACTTTTCTGTTATTCATAACCTTTTGTTTATATCTATTGGTCCCTTACCATTCTGTATCCCTTGACATTATTTATGTCAAATCACCAGAGTGTCTGACACATTGTTGTGTAGTCTGACATGAGGATGTAGTGAAATAATGAACTGCTGAAGAGAACAATATTTGTCTTGGCAAACTGGAGTCACTTCAAATATAGATATCATCTAAGCACCATGCAAGAATAACATTGTATGGAAAATAGTGTATTTATATAGTCCCATGTTTTCTTCTGCAGCAACTTGGATGTGTGCTAGTCACAATCTGAGAGGACATTGAATTGTTGAAGTTTCTCAGTCCACCTTCTGCTGAGATTTCCCACCTGAACCCCAGGCATGCTGTCACAAGTCATACTAGACAGGCTGAATGTCCATTTTGTGTTGAAATCTATGTATAATTCCATTATGCAATCTCTATGTAGTTCTAAATTGACAGTATAAATGTCAAACATAGTTAAGTGCAGCAGATCTCTTTCCAGAATGAGAGACTTTTGGTACAAGTAACTCAGTGCATTCAAAACAGCATATTTGAAGTTTCTTTAAGCTGAGGACAGCACATCTGTGAACTGAGGAAGAGAAAGATAAAACAGGTTTAAATACACAGATGGCTTTATTTTAAAATACACTACTCTTTGGTAACTTCTCAACAGAAAAACTGGCTTGGTAAAAAGACTTAGTGAAAGATATTCTTTTTGATTGGCATATTGCAGCAATCTTCAGAGTAAATCTCCTAGGTAAAATAATGGAAGGTCAGAGTGCTTTTTCATTATATGAGAGCATTACTTTGTTTCTTTCAAATTAAAGAAAACTGCAACTTCTTTCTATGAAAATACACATATTGTATCTATTGTTATGCTAAAATATAGAAAATAATTATGGTAGTGAATATTCTTGAAAGGTTATATACTGGTTTAAATTTTATCCTTCCATTTCAGGAAGAACCTTTGAAAAACAATCAACTCACTAAACATCTGAAAAACTTCAGTCCCTTAGTTTCAGCTTGGTATAAAATCTACTGTCCTCAGTTGAATTCTATTTATATTCAACAAAAGTTTTGGACATTTATTGGGCCTTGAGGTCAGCCCACTGAAAAAAAATTATGGGTTTAACTTAACCCTTATTTTTATTTAATCCTCACTTTTATTCGGGTAATTTCGATTCCATTGAAAACATTACTTTTTGGGACATAAGTCTTAAATATAAATATTTCCATTTTCTCATCTTCACTTCTTATATTTCACAGCAGGACATTGGTGATACAGAAAACAAGACTGAGTTCAGTTACCAACATCATAAGTAACTGCTGAGTGTATATATTCCTGCACAATCTTTTTTCAATCTAACATGCACTTCAAGTGCAAAAAATGCAAGTTCATTAATGATAATTAATTGACCTGAAAGAACCTATCCGTTAATTTCTGTATTATTCAATATAGATAGAAATTTGACCTGATTTACTCACTTGGAGGATGTTTTATTCTGTGAGAACAACCTGTGCCAAAGTGCTTAGGCCACCTTCCATAGTCCTCAGAGCATTAACTCACACACCTCAGCTTAACCATCAGGGCTTCCATTATTGCACACTATCAAATGAGTAAAAAAATGAGCCACTTCTTTGTCCTTGCATTTGGTGAAAGACAGATCAATTACCTGAGTCATGCCTTTGCTCAAAGCTATAGTCAAAGGCATTATGCTTGTATTTTTCACTCTTAATAAAAGCCCTGAAACCTGATACTCGGTATTGTTTCTGTGAACTTAGACCAATGTACTAATACTGATTTTTTAAAAGACTTGCTATTTCTGAAAGGAAAAAAGGTTTAAAACCCATTTGTTTTGTCTCAATTTGCATCTAATCAAATTAGTAGTCACAGTGTCTCAGGGTCTCAAAGCAGTATGTTTTAACTCTATTATCAGCTTGTTGAAATTGTCAAGTCTATAACACTTTTAAAAAAATACTTTTCATTTCAGACAATATTTAAGATTAATGTCACAAATTATTTGCTGAGGGTCCTTGTATTCAACTATATATTTATTTGATTTTAGCTGCTCCTTCACAGATCTTTTCACAATAGAAGTGAGTTAGGAAATTAGAGAAATCATATAAAAACCTCACTATTAACCTACTGAGAAGGCTAGTAGTGTGTTTGGAACTCTATCTATCAGTGGAGACTCTTTTAGAATAAACAAGTTACTTACTTGGTACAAACTGACAAGACAAAAATGGTCCTAGATCCCAGCAGCCATAACTATAATTAATTAGCATTCAATTTAATTTCAGTTCGTCAAATTCTTGAATGTGACCAGACCCAATTAATGCCAGGAGTAAAGTAGGCTTGCTGATCACATCATGAAAATAGTGCAGTGTCTGCATGTAGGGCAGCAAACATTTTATACATGTTGCATCAAAGTCAATTTCTTACACATTTTTCCTAAAACTTTGAATTTAGAGAAGTGTACATTTCCAGGTAAAATAGCATATTTGCCTTTACCAGTAATTAAGAAAAAATTAGATTTCTTCTCATATTAGTTACCATTTTAAGTGACTATTATTTCTTGTCCATGCTGTTACATAATTGTCTGGATCACTTAATCAAAAATACACACAAAAAAAAAGCTGTATAAAACCCTTTCCAGAAAAGGAAAATGACTAACTCAATTGCTAACTTTGAAATTAATGAAATATATATTTTTGAGAGAAGCATAAACCTGTTATGATTTATCTGACCTGCTTCCAGATGGCGCACAACTTCCTTGATTTTTCTCTCACATGCTTGTTCCTTCCTGCCTGAAAAGTTGCTTAAATATCATAATGATTGATACCTTCATGTAGCCTAACATCTATAGCACCTATGGATAAAGCACATGCGTATCATAAATCTAGATTAAAAATTGAATTATCACCTGTAAATGCCAGTCCTCTTAATTTTGGAATATAATGTCTTTATAAAATTTCCTGTGGACATTACTTTGATTCCAGCACCACTTGTAAATGCACTTAGATAACAAGAGTACTTCAGCACCTACTGTTTAAGTAATTTCAAGAGTTTCAATACAAACAAAATCTTATAATGCAATAGAGTATCTATGAAAAACTCATTTCATACCTTTGTACAGTTTATTATATAGACTTTCAAATAAGTTGTAGGAGCTTCCTCTGCTCCAGCTGGATCAGGGTATCCCATTTCCTTCTGCAAAGTGTTGGCATTCTTCAAGCAGGGATAACATCCTCAATACATTGTCCGTCGAGGATGTAGCAGTGAATGTCCTTAATAGTGTTACCTTCCTTTCCTTTTCTTCCAAAGAGGAGGAAAAAAGGCAAAGGAACCTCTCATCAGCCTGTGAGGTTTCTGAATTTGGGAAGTATCAGTAGAACAAAATTTGATCTGAAATGCAAATGTGGTACATAATATACAATAATTGTTGCAAGCAGGGACATAATAATTACTAATAGCAATAGGAAACCTGCTCCCATTTCCTGCTAACAAATCACACACTGATCTGCAAAATCTTGTTTTCTCAATGACCTACAAAATATAGTTTATACTATCATTCTAAAAAAGTGAACTATGAAAAAATCACTTCCCCTTTTAAAACCAGACATTCCGTGAACTACTCTCTCTAATTTACTGTAGACTTCAGCTTTTATATCAAGTCATCATATTTGGTGATTTTCAAAAGCCAGAAAATCCCAGCATTTAAAATTCAATACTCAATCTATATTTCTTTATGAAATTTTGTTTCCTATATTTTTCTCTATTCCACTAATACCACCCAAGTCTTCTACCAAATATTTCTGTTTGTTCTACTTTTGTTGGATTACACATAGGCTTTTCTCTGAAAACAAGAGGGAAAAGTGCAGTTGCTGCTGTCTCCATCCTCTGCTATTATATGAATTGGCACATCCACTAATGCTTGATTACACAAATGCTAAACCCTCTCCATGAGCTACTGGGTCAGCTTGCAGACTTCCTTATTCTCCTTAGGTACATGCTTCTAAGCCATGACTTCTTTTTCTAAGTCCAGAATCTAAAATTAGAATTTTACATCACTGCATTTAACAATTTCTGTTAATTTAACCCTCTTTGTGTCAAAATTTTTGCATAAAATTAGATTTGATTTCAAAAATTATCAGAATACTTTTGGTTGGTCGGTTGGGTTTTTTGCTTGTTTGGTTTTTGTTGCTTTTTTATATTGGAGTTTGATTGTAGTTATAGTGGAAAACAAAAGGCTGATAAACTTTATTTTGAAAGAAAATCGTGTTTGCTTTGCCTAAATGAAAAACAGATGTAATTTGAACTATTTTAAGTGAGTTTGTATAACCCCAACAGCTTGATAAGCTATTTGTTTTAGAAGTGTGATATGAAACTTAAATATCACCTGTATTCTCTATTAACTCCAGATACATCATGCATTATCTTCAATTAACCAGTATTCCTCTTTCTAAGCTGCATATGACAATATCTAAAATTTGATTTAAATTTCCTCTAACAAAAAAGCCCCAAAAGACAGTTTTATCTTTTAGTGAAATTCAATTATTTAATGAAACACAAATAAAAGCTGATTTTATTTTTATTGAAGTGCACAGAATTACTTATGCCAATTAAAAGACTATTTTGTAAAAATTAAAGTATTTCATATGCAAGAACTTGCTATTAAATACTTGTATTATCCAAACTGTTCTTTATGTACAACCAAAAGTAAGTTTTAGTCAAAACTCAAGTGAATTTATCACTAAGGTGTTTTCTCATTAAAACTCTATTGTTTAGTAGCTGTAAACAGTCTTTTCCAGTCCTAAGCTAAAGCAAGGCTCATATGCCTTGCATTGCTCTTTTGACTAAATCTGTTAGCATTCTGTTTGAAGTCAAATATCTAATTAAAGATAAGAGGGCAGGATGAGGCAAAACACATTCTGTGTTTTACTGTGAGAAATCAGAACACTGCAGCTTGTGGGATTCAGTCCAAAATGGTTATCTTTATCTTTAAATTTGACTGTTTTCACTCTTAAGTAAAGAGTCTTCAACGTGGTTTTTTTCAGCTGCTTAGACTAGCTCTGAAGTGCAGCAAACCAAAACTAAATCTCTACAACCAAAGAGACAAAGATCCTGTCCTATTTTCATGATGTACAACTGTGCAACATGCAAACTGTTACCTTTGACCATATCACTTTTCTCTAACTAGAAAATTGGTAAGTATTCCTCAGAATAAGCAAGGTAGTACTTGCTTACTTACTGAATACAGTAGGGTCTGACTTTTACCTACAATCCTGTAAATTGTAAGAGAAGTAATTCCTGGTTTTGGCTAGAGACATTGCAGTGAAGGATAGAGAGGTGTAGCTCTCCTATTAGCGCCTTCTAGAGCAGTTATATGACCTGCAGCAGCTAACTGAGGGTGTACACCTCTCTCCCTTTCTCCCTTCTTCCCCTTATTCCTTCTCACCCTAATCAGATAAGGGCTACATTCATCCTGACTGTGTTCTCAACTGTAACTGTCGTAAATTGCATGCATTACAGACTGATCTCTTTTCACTTATATTGATAAACCAGATATGTATAGGAGGATTTCCAGATCTCAAGCATGATCCTAAAGAGTCCGTTTAAAAATATCATTATGCAACATTATCTTCAAGAAATCTAAAAGTCCTTTTCTTTGGACCTACGCTGAATTAGGTGTTTGACTAAGGTTGAATATAAAATAAGATAATGCTTTAGGCATAAAAATGGATTATTATATTTGGAACACAGTGAAAAAAATTAAGACATGGAATCAAACGAGCCAAAAATTTAGAAGTCACATCATCTTTCCTTTATCCTATACTTGTTAGAAGAAAAGACCAAACGACATTATACCATAAAGATACTACTTTCAGTGAATACAGTTTCTTTCGGCTGAATTTATTTTCTTCAAAGTTAGTATCTCCACAAATGTGGTTACTAAAACAATCTATGGTGGTAGATTTAGATACTGAGAAGATCAGCTGGAATTCGATAGAAAAGAAAGGCTTTTAATCAAATTAAGCTATTTACTTTATAAGATCAGTTTACTTGTCAATTAATTCACAAGTTTGCTTCTATTTATGTTTTTGTCCTTTAAAACAATTAGCATAGGTTGTCTTCTCTTCTTGGCAGTTCAAAGCACTATCTGAGTTTGCAGAAATTAAGCATATGACCTACATCATCTCCAAAAGTCATGGGGAGAAAAAAGAGAAATTTATTTAGATAACTGAGTTTTCAGCTGTCAAGTTACCCGAGTATAACTTCCTTGGATGTTCAATACCTTGCATCACCACAGTTCAGCAGCAGTGTCTAGGCAGAATCACACCTTGATGAATCAGGCATGCTTGCACTATACATTTTTCTTCCTTTACAAAAGGAAAATATATGATTGATTAGAAGCTGATGAAGCAAAACCAGCATTAACATCTGGGAGAATTTCATTATTACAATTGCTGGTTCTTAATTCTGTTCCTGAAAGTCGCTTCAAAGTTGATCTGAACTTGAGCCTGGGAACAGGGTACATTGCACACAATATGTTTATGCTGGGTTAAGGACTTAATCAGCATCTGTGTATAATTCTACTTATATTTTTTTACTTAGTTAATTTATGGCATTTTCTAGAAAGTTTATGAGGAAAAGGCAGCTTGGAAGTCCCATAGGACAGCCGATCCCCAGGATATCATTGCTCATGTTAAAGAGTCAATGTATTGTTTTAATCCCTTTCTGAATTATAAAACCATTATTCAAAGATGGAAAATTTTGTGCTTTGAACTGCCAGACATTTATATTATGCTGTATGAATTCTCACATTTTAAATTGATTCTAAAGGAATCATGTCTGAAAATCATCTGTTGTTTACATTTGAAAAGAAATTTAACATTGTGTTTACCCACAGATGGGATGGATTGAGCACTGATTTCTACTGCAGCTCTGTCACTGCCTTTCAACAGTGAAAATATTTATCTTTGGAGGCAAAATTCTTCTTCCCAGGAAACTAGCAAGAAAAAACATTGGCAGGAGGATCCCTGCTTCAGATTTGTATGGTTTATGGCCATTGCAAGAGCCAGCATAGTGAGGATGCTGGGATCTCTACAGAAGTGAGTAGTCAGAGATAGGAATGAATCAAAAAGAGAGTATTATGAAAATAATGCTATTGTTCAATCTAATCGTCTAAAAACCCTGAAAAAATAACAATAATAAAAAACAGAGGAGTGCCTATATTTTTATCTTTGATTTTCTTAGAAAGCAGAGTACTTTCAGCACTGTATTTGATGCACATTTCTGGGCTCTGATCCACTGATTTCAGGAATAGGTGATAGACAAAATAAGCCTTTGATGCATGCTGAATAAGAGGAGTTTTAATCTATTTTTTCAGATCAGTACATAATTTACCTCATAAACTTTTTTCAGAGTCTTAATCATATTTAGTTCTCTAAAACTAGGGATACATATTATTCATATATAAATAATATGTTTTTGTGATTCATGTTTTAAATATGAATCACACAGCTGGTATAAAGCACTTTTCCCTGAACTTCTTTTCCTACTTTTGCCAGCTCCTTAAGGTTGCAGCCAAAGTCAGACCTAGACCTCAGAAGAATAAAACAAAGGGTTTGCTGATGTGACTAAACCACATCTTGTTCATAAACAGGGCCGTTTAAAAGTAGCTCTGCATAACAAATCAGGACCAGCTAGCTCTGATCTTCCAGTCTGGCCACCCAGCATTAAATATAGAGATAAAGCATTTTCTGCAGCTTAGTTGAGTTTCCAGAACCCCACAGTGTGGATACTGGCTTCAGACAGCAGCAGTACAAGTCAGAATTGCACTTATACCAGCCAGGAACTGCTGTGTGCCTGAGGGACTTCTTAGCTACACTCAGCTGTGCAAATGAATCCAAATTAAAGAAGAAAGCCAGCCAACTAAGTTGTCATAAAATTGCCATTAAAGAATTATACAATTCTTCATTAAATCCTTGGCTTCCTATTCATATAGAGATGTGTGGGTTAGTTTGAGAATTTGCAGCTGAGTTATTCCAGGTGTATTAAACTAACATGTAACTGACATGTAGCATATTGCTTACTGTCCCTTAGGAACCGCATGGAGAAAATACGTTGTATCTCTGTGGCTAATAAGATGGGGAAAACATTTCAATAAAAAAAAGGGAACAGTTTTAAGTAGCATTTTAACACCATAATCAAAACTATACCTCTGCATTTTATCAAAAACAGTTCCTTGCTGTGAGACAGAAAATATAATCAGGATATTTGAACAGGTTTTGCCAACTACCAAAATAAAAAATGAGTAGACGAATGGACATCTGAGTGGAAGGAATAAAGGCCCAAAGAGAAATACTCACAATAAGGAATATCTAGGCTCTTCACAAAGAGCATGCCAGTTGCAGGCCTCCATAAATGTACTTCATTCATTAAGCAGAAGAACAGGTTTGAAACTGGGGGAAATGAACAAAACTAATGCATGTTTTGTGCTTGGTCTGAGGGATGATGAAAACACAAGGAAAGACGAGCCCTGAAGGAAGCTACTGTGGCTTCATGGTGTGCCTTTCTCGAAAAGCATTAAATTTTTAAGTACTCCCAGCATCAAAGTGCAAGAATTATTATTTAGTCTATTTATTTCACAGCTGTAATATCTGGTCTAAGACTGGGTAAAGTTTGTTTGAGGAGCTATGGACAAAATGTGGAAAGAGGAATTTGAATTAAGGAAAAAAATAAAAAGGGTAGAAGCTGAAAAAATCTTCTGTCACAAATCATTGTAATTAGTTTGCCAAAGCATAATTATATTGATATACTTCTTAACTTCCCCTGGGAGTATTTTGGATATTCATTATTAATGTTAAATGAAATGTTACCATACCAATTTGTAAGCCTAAGAAACCATCATGGTTCTTTGAACAGGGCTCTAAGTTCATGCTCCTGCTACACCTTGCCAACACATCAAGGGTGAGTTGTGCTGAACACACCCCTGTACCCACACGCTTTTTCTGAGGGGAAAAAAAAAAAAAACAGAAGAAATTTAATTAATCAGAAAAGGTCTCCAAGAGTTTCTTGTCATCCTAATTTGGAAACAATGGTCACAAAAGACACACTAGCCAAGTTGCACAAGGTTCACACAGATCGTGGAAGATATTTCAGACTTCTGTCAGTGCTTTATCTTTTCTAAACTCATTCTAGAGTAATTTTGCTCTGATAGCCTGATCCCAACAATAAAGTGAATATCAGACAAGCTTCTGTTTCCATGGTCTGAAGTCTGTATTTCAAACCAAAAAATATAAAGTAAAAACTGTCTTTTACTTCTTTGAATTGAGAAATCACATAGGCAGAACAAAACCAGTAAAAATTATATCTCTGATGGATTTAGTACAGACAATTAGTAATTGATGGATTAAATACTGCCATGATCTCCCATGATTAAAATATCACCAATTCTGGTCATGTACTGTTAAATGCTTACATGCTAACCTTATTGTAAGGATTTTAGTGTCAAATAGACTACTTAGCAACACACCCCCATTTTCTTTAGTCCTTTTACAGAATATATAATAAAATGAAGGTATCTGCCGTTAAGCTAGTCAAAACGGTTATGTATAAGAAAAGTTGTAATTTCAAAATAGGGAAATTTAAAGGAATGTGTCAATTTCTATTAAAATGTCAGTGGGAAACCTAGAAATTCAGAGAAGAAAAAACAAAACAAAAACTGCAGAATCTCTGTAGGCAGTACTTATATACATGAGAAATAAATAACATGAATCCATGCTCCTGCTTTCAGTTAGCTGTAATAAGAACTGATTCACTCTCTGAGTCCCACATAAGTACCAGTGTCATCAGTGCATTTGTTATTCCAGGAGCTACTTTTCTCTTCTACATAAAAAAATACATGTTATGTAATCTCATTTTTTGGCACAATTGAATTTCTAAAGCCAAATACCCTAATCTTTTATATCCTTTGTCCAAGCCTGTAAAATACAACTACACAAGACGGGGAAAGAAAGGAAGGGTGGAAGTCAACAACTAGCAGTTTCTATGTACAGCTGTTATTCTACCTAGCCCAGCATGCATTCCCACAATGTGCACATTATGTATGATCTTTATTATGATTTCTTCTCACGTGTACCCAAGTCTCTAAATTCTGGGTTTTGGCTCCTTTCTTTACCTTTGGCCATTGTGATGCGTTGCTCTTGGCTGGATATGAGGTGCCCACAAAGCCAGTCTATACCTCCCTCCTTATCAAGAAGAGAGGAGAGAAAATAAAGATCAAGATAAAGACAGTTTGATAAAGTAAAAGCAAAGGTCATGCATGCAGAAGCGAATGCAAACAATTATTCTTTACTTCTACTTCTAGTTGATGATGGCCAGTGCCTGCCCTTCCTCTACCTTTCCCTTGGCTGTTATTGCTAAGCAGACTTCATACAGGATGGAATTTCCCTTTCATCAGTTTGTGTCAACTGTCCTGGCTATGTCACCTTTCAGAATCTTACCCACCCCAGCCTACTGCTCAGTGTGGGAATGCTGGAAGGACGCCCTTGATGCAGGGCCAGATACATTCAGCAACAGCCCAAACACTGGTAAGTTACAGAACCTTTCAAGCTACTAACACAAAGACCTATAAATTATTTTTTTTCCTCCTCACTGCTGTTACTTCAGTCTTTATGCTTGATCTCAGTGATTCCCAGTCAAAGAGCAAGGCATCACCTTTGTGGTTCAAACACTATAAAGGTAAGGCAGAGTACTGAGCTTAAGATAATAAATGCTGAGGTACCTGCACTGGGTTTGTGAAGTTTAAAGAAGTATTGAGCATTTTTATCTTCATTATATGAGACTAAGTCACAAAAAGGTTGCAAACATCTGATCTACACCAGTTTAAAAATTGACTCTTTCTTTCTTTCTTT